GATGTCAAAATCTGCAGGCTCTCCTGAAACAGGTGCTTGCATGGCCTCTGAGCTCGTTTTGGACAGAAGCCAACCAGTTGTCACATATGGAAAGGCTGAGCGGAGGCACAGACGGGGCAAGCCTTCTGATGTGCCAGTGGAGTAGAGCCATGGTGCTGGGTTAGGCTGGTTGGTGGTGTTTGAGTCCACAGCAAGGATAGTCGGGTAGGGCAAACCTGGGAGAGCATGCCTCTTGCTAGTGCAGAGGAGTGCCTGAAAGCCACATCTTCAAGGAGCACAGCTTCTTTGAGTGGAAAAGCTATACTCCGTTCCACCTTCGGTCTCAGCGCAGTGGACGCCACAAGCCATTCCAGCCGATCCAGCACCAGGAGAAAATCGCGTGACCTGCCTGTTGGGCAGAGCGACACCCGTAGCTCAAGGTCACATGCCACCCTCTCAACGCTGGATTGGCTGGGATGGCTCCTATAGCGTCCACTGCGCTCGGACTGAAGGTCAAACGGAGTATAGTGTAGGGGAGTGCCCGAAAACCACTTCCTTTGGAAGCACAGATTTTGGAGGGAACGGTGAGTGTGAAGCTAGTGCAGAGGAGTGCCCAAAAGCCACTTCCTTGGGAAGCACAGCTTCTGTAAAGGCCTGCGAGCAAGCAGCCCTTGTCACTGCCGATGCTTCGGGTAGAAAAGCTAGTGCAGAATGCCTAAAACCACTTTCTTGGAAGTTGCAGCTTGTGCAGAGAATGGTGAGCATGAAGCTAGTGTAGAGGAGTGCCCAAAAGCCTCTTCCTCGGGGAGCACAGCTCCTGTAAAGGCATGGGAGCAAGCAGCCCGTGCCACTGGCAATGCTTCAGGTGGGAAAGCTAGTGCAGAGAAGTGCTTAAAAGTCGCTTCTCGGGGAGCACAGCTGTAGAGGCTGGTAAGTGGGTGGCCTTTGAAGTGACTGAAACCAAGGTAGCGTGCCCTTTCCAAAGCACGGTGGGAGGAGGGAAGCAGCGTGGGTGAAGTACAAGAGCACGAAGCGACAGTCTCGCAGGCTGTGTAAGGCACTAAACCATACTGCCACTATTGCATCTCCCCACAATTGCTTGGGGTGGAGTAGACCTTGCATAGGGTGCCTCTGTTCTTTGTATGTGTCCGATAATCCATTGTCTGGCTTGGGGGAGGACAGCCCAGCATGTGCGACAAAGAGCAGGGCCACTGGAGGCAAGCATCCCGTCACAGCCCTGCTGCAGAACCATTTTCCTGCAGGCCTAGTTTAGCAACTATCCAACCTATCTAGCAGCATTTGAAGACTGGACCAAAAAAGGGTTGCATGTATTTTCAAAAAAAAAAGGTCAAAGACATGTTCACGAGTTCAATCTGATGAATTTAAGTACTCCATGGTTGAGCAACCGGAAAGAATAAACACAAATTCTGGACGCAAACAGACGATACAACTCTTTCCGGTTGCTTAAGTATTTACCAACACGCTCGTTTTTTAATGTTAATCATGGTTGAGTTCATCTAGTCAAACCAACAGCTAACTCCTTGGCCCAATGCGGTGAACGAGGGCTAAATGAAAAATTGATTGATATTAAGGCGTTTCTTAGCAGCCTTGCAACCTTCCCTAGCAACCAGGTGCAGCTCTTGCCATAGTCTGTTGCACCCTGTGCAGCTTGAGAGGATGTATCTCAGCAGCAGCTAATAGACAACAATCGGTGGGGCAACCTTTTCCGAAAAACTGTGCATTAGTTTGATCAAACGCAGGAGGCAGACCACGAAATGTGACAGTTATAAGCATGCACTTTCTGGAATGCTCCACAACAAGGCACTTCGCCTTAGTATGATATAGGGCAGAGTTAATTCCTCTCTACAGAAGTTATTTACTTACTGAAAAAGAACTGGCATGTGTAAGATCCAAAAGTTCTCTGTCTGATAGTGTTATGAATATTGTGCGTAAATGTGTTACGTAACACATAAAACATTTCCACATTGGGGTGGTTTTCAAGCTGTTCTGTTAGCTGAGGGACTAAAATTCAAACAGGTGAGAGATGCTTTCATTCAGCTATTGCATACAAGAGTTCCAGACCATTGGCAGTGATGTGATACTTGTGCCAAAGTACTACATCTTGCTACATTTGACCAAAATCTGAGGAACTCGAGCCAACATTGCGCCAAAACTTAATTTTAACAACTTGCAATTTGGCCGGAACGATAGGATTGCGTGAGTTTGCAGATCTTTAGAATATTACGTCGTATAACATACTAACTCTGTCTGATTTCGCATCAAACACAGACATTACTCGTGTAAGCGAGTGCCATTGTGTTTTGCCTTTTTTCTTGTATTTTGCCGGGCGCATCCCTGAAGTCGCCTACGAAGGTCAGAGGGCACGAATGTTGTGTTCTTAAAGGCTTGTGTTAACACTGACTCCTTGGCATCAGGGGTCCCAAACGTGGATTCCAGCGCCATGAAGATACAACTGGCTGGCGTCGGACCAGATGCGGCATGTGCCAGCCAGGAGAGACCAAGCACCGCGAGAGAACTATACAGCAGTCTACCTGTGGGACTCTGAGCAAGAGCATTGTGCGATGGTGGTATGCAACCACCATAGTTCCCAAATTTGTAAATTTGGAAACTATGGCCTAAATTTGTACTTTCGACTACTATATTAAACCCAGTGTTTTTTTTAATTGCCAAAAGCTTAGTTGTCAAGACCTCATTTATTTTCTAGAATATATCTTATTTGAGACTATTTCTAACACTCGGAAGTTCCGCAATAATTTTCGTGTTCTGTTCTGGCGGGTTAGTTTCGCTGAGTGCGCTTCTCACCGCTCACTGGTGTACTGCAGTGAAGCGACAACCGCGGTGTCGCTTGTGTCTTGCTTCGCTGCAGCGCACCTGTGTGCTAAGGGGAAAGCATACCTCCAAAGCTATACTGGACGATTTTTGAATAAAATTTGGCTTGTATGTATGATAGACTGACTGCAGTATCGTGGAGGTATCTTTTTCCAATTCTAGATTTAGCAAGGATACTTCAGTATTGCAAATATATTTATGTGGACTCTTCTTTAAGTTAATGTATTATGCCAACTTTTTTGTTTAATGGTCACTCTTATCTAAGTGTGAGTGAATTAGCAGCTAAATTACCAGAAGTAGAGAATGCAAGCCTGAGAAGAGCCTTAACGAGTTCGGCGAAGTTGTTTATAAGAAGGCATATTTATCATTTACAGGCCAATTTTAGGGGCGAAGCTCCTTAGGGTCTAGCCATGTCCGGCATCCATGCTCACATCGATTGCCATCCCATCTGTCTTCTTAAAAAAAAGAAAAAATGTTTGTGCAGTCAACAGGATTCAAACCTGTGCGGGGAGACCCCAATGGATTTCTAGTCCATCGCCTTAACCACTCGGCCACGACTGCGGGATGAGTAGGGGCTCTGAGGTGTGGTAGTAACTCAAGAGCTGGGGATGACATGGATGAAACGTTGCATGTAGCCGCTCAACGTCTATACAGGAGAGGGTGCTGCGGTCAAATGCGTATATAATCTCGTTAAACTTTGCATGCATTGGCTCAACGTTTATAGACGAGAGGGCGGCTGTCAAATGCTCAAATGCGTATATAACCACGTTCCATACCACACATTCCATACCAACGCAACCCAGAGCTCAGCACTACCTATGAGCAATAAAAAAAATCAGCACCATCAGCACTACCTATGAACAAGATCAGTATCATCAGCACCACCGAGAGTTTCGCCCCAATCAACATATGAACAAGATCAGTATCATCAGCACCACCGAGAGCTTCGCCCCAATCAACATCATTCAAAATGTGGAGATACGGTCATTTTTTTTTTGTTATGGAGTTCTAGGTATAAAATATAACTTATATTTCATAATCAAATGACGACTGATTTTTTTTTCTGTATTAAGAACTGCAGTTTTATTACAACCTCTAGAACTTGAAGGACACAAATTTAGGCACTCAAAATTATTGTATTCTAGCATTATTTCACTGGGATTCCATATCTAAATTTACAATTCACCACAATTCATGCTGTCCTTCATCTGTCATCTTCTTGTCACCGTGTCTGGTGCGTCTGCGTGCAAGTAAACTGCTAGTTTTGTGCTTGAGGAAATCAATCCTGCTGTGCAATCGATGATAACGAAAGGTTGCACATAATTGAGAAGGCAAAGTAGACTCTGCCTAGTTGGACAGCTCAACACATGAATCTTAATGTAATATTTGCAGTGCTATGAATGAAAATGGAATGTGCGCTTGTGCTCCAAAAGTTCTTTTGGCTGCTCCAAGAGCTGCTCCAAAACGACTGAGCGATCACGTCACTGCATTGGCTCTCAGTATCAAACATTGGGTCACCTCCAAACTCTGTTTTTGCGTATGGTTATATTGACAATGTTCCTCCTGATTTTGTCAAGCAACTGTGCAGCATTCTGAAGTTACAATTGACCACTATAAATGTTTTTATAAAACCTGCACAAAGTCGAGGCCAAGTCAAAGTCAAATTTGGGGGTTTTACATGCCAAACCAACGACGGGCATCTGGCACACCCCAGCGGAGGACTGAGGATTAATTTGGACCACCTGGGGATCTTTTGACGTGCAACCGAAAGCTCGGTTACACGGCGCCTCCTCCGCAATAAGCCTCCGTCGGATTGTGGGCACCTCGGCCGGGATTTGAACCCGCCACATGGGGATCCGTAGGCCAGCGGTCTCGCCTCAGAGCCACCGAGATGGCTCACAAAGTCAAGGCGGCACTCTGGAGTGTGGCTTATTCACAATAGCTAACATGCAATACATAGCATCCGGCAAAGATCTTACCTCTGTAAGCTTCTGACAACAGTCAATGAGGACCCATTTACTAAACTGCATTCTAAAGGGAATGACAAAAGACTTTCCCATAATAAATTTTATTGTTTCTCAAGTGCGACCAAAAGACTTCGCTTACGCTGTTCATTGCTTGTGCAGGCAGCCTCTGCTTTGTGCCGGTGCTGTTGGCATTAATCAATGTTTAGGTTGTCCATCCCTCTTTCACGAGGAGTGTCCAGGCAGAAAACCTAATTGTGGCATACAGTTTGCATGCAGTCGAGGGTGTATTGTCACTGGAATGCAGAAGGATAGGCAGAGGTTATCCTAAATGACTGTTTCAAGACCTTGAACTTTATTTACCATACCCGCCAAGTTCGGAAAAACCAAATCCGGGAGAATTTTCTAAGCGGGGGGGGGGGGGGGGGAGGGGGGGGGGGGTAAATGTTTTTTAAAAAGAGATATTGATAACAAATGTAAATGAAGACAACTTCATTATATTTATATTGCACTGCTCATGCTAGCGAAAAACTGCTGCGCCTCGCTATCGTAGCAGCCGTTTGTTACGACGGCAAAAACCACTTATTTAAGTGCGAGGAGGGAAGGGGGGGGGATTTGAGTTTTTTGGGAGATTTTTCTGGCAATCGTACTAATTGGTCAAAATTCGGGAGTCTCCCGGGTAATACGGGTAACTTGGCAGGTATGGTTTACCCTTGTTATGTTTATTCTTGTTATTCTTTACCTTTGTTATGTCTCCACCTGCATATTTCTTACTTTTCATCATTAGAGTTTGATATGACAAAAACTGACTGATATATTTGAAAAGGCATGTGACCCTGTAATAAGTTGCAAATTATTATTACAATTGTGTTCAGACACTCATCGTGGCCAACAATTTCAATAACAATTGTTGTAAAAAAAAAAAAACTTGCTCTCGAGACTAATAGATGGATAATAACAGCTGTACCCTTTATAATGGGTGGCAGCTTCCACCACCTAGCCTAAAACATTAACAAAAACCAGAAACATCATCCACTGCCTCCTTCCTCCGGCGAGGGAGTCGCCAATTTTCCTCTGGTCAAACCTTGTCAGCATCAGCAGATTCCTCACGAAACCGCAGTAAATGTTGGGGCTTAAGTTTAATGAAATAATTCGCAACTGGTTATCAGGTCACACCTTATCATCTGCAACAGAGTGCCCTCTCCATTTCAAATACGACCTTTTTTCCCTTATATTTAGCATAAAAAAGTACTATGTACAGCTGCTGATTCCTATGGGGGACAAGACAAAAACAGCTTAGTAATTTGAATTTTTATGCTTTGGTGCATGGTGCTTTTAATCTTTTTCTTTTCTTTAATTTAGGTCTTTTGGAGGAGCCCGACTGCTAGAGAGCGTGCTCTAAGGTGTTGGATAGAGAAACGGCTTCTGTCAGGAAGTTGTGAAAACAACTTCCAACTACAAGATAAGCATTCATGCCCACGGACCAACAAGCTTCTTTTTTTTTTGTTGTTGTTAATGTTCCTTTTTCTTTTTAGTTTGCATTTAGTTCATTTCTTTTTTTGTGCTTGTGTTAGGTCTTATTTTGTTGAAATAAACTTTTTGCATCCATTTCATTCATGCTATTCTTGTTGCAAAAACACCGGCAGCAACATTCGTTCAAGAAAATGCTGCAGAACAGGTTACATTGAAGCAAAGCAAATGTGTCAAAGGGACTGACAATTGAAACAGTTAGCATATTAAACTTCATACTTCTTGGAAGGCTCGCTGATGTGACTGCTGCACCAAAGGCCTCAACCTGCTATATGCTGCTAAAATTAACCAAAATACTACTATGATGAATTTGTGCCAACGCTGCACGAAAAGCTAGACTTTTGCTCGCTATTTGAGATTTACTCGGAGCTTGGTACCTTGCTGGATCATTATGGTAGAGGATGGTGCTCGTTCTCAAAAATACAGGCTATTGATTGGACTAACACACTATTTGATTTTACCTTTGTATCGAACAGGGACAGTACACTTAATTTCCCTAATAGTCCTCATTATTTTAAGTTTGTTGAGGTGGCCACACTAGCTTTGGTGAGTGCACTTCTCGATAGGCTTTGGCGCACTGTGCAGAAGACACTCGTACTGTAAACAGCAGTTTTGTCAGGTTTGCTTCCCTGCAACACACTTTCGTACTAGGGGAAGACTTACCTAATGAGCAGGGTATTAAGAAATTAAACATCTGGGATATGGTACATGTTGATCTGACAATAAAACCTTGCAGAAAAATTGCAAAAATTAACTGCAGCTATTATGTAGGTGTGCATGTGACAGCAAAACGGCGAAAAAGTATTCCGGAATGCAGATACTTGTAGAAATACATTTGTTCCCGAATGGTGCTACGTGAGGAGGGTATAATTCGTGGTGAATACGAATGGTAATTTATGCTTGTGCTCCTCTTTTTGTGCCATTTTAAGCACTACCCCTTTGCTCAAACTCTTTATTTATCATTATGCCGCTAGAAAAACATGACACCCCCCTTGAACCACATAGTTATAGAACGGTAAAGACTGCGTATCATGCCTGACAAAACGCGTCTGCCCAAAATGAACATCGTTTTGCCATGAGGGCGCAGAACCAGTGCAGCCGCCGCGTTGGGACTGGCGCTGTGATCGGCTTTTGGAGCAGAAGCACAGGGTGTCGTCTGCATCTGTTAGCTCTTGTTTCACCGCACCACGTTGTATGCTACATGTAATTATTCGCAGTTTGATGAGACCATTCGCATTTCCTTAGTTTTAATGTATAAAAACGAAGTCTTTTCTGTGGATGTTTACTTACTCCAGTCTACTAAAAAGTTTTATGTATGAAATGCGTTTGTCCAGATTCCTTCACATTCATTTAGCAATAGCAGATTCAGGCCAAGTCTCTAGAATTTCGCATTTAGATGATAGATGCGCAGCATCAGGATGATTTCACGTCTGGAGTTACTGGCGGCCGTGCGCGGTCAGGAGCGGTCACTTCGAAGACGAAGGCCTGACGAGAGCGTTTTGGCCAAAACAGTTATCAACCGTCACTTTGGTGTCAAGTTGAAGCATTTATTCTGATTCTCAAGAAAGATTGGCATGGAACTAGCATACCAATGCCGATTCTCTGCGTTTTTTTCCCAGGCCCACTAGTGGGCTTCCACAAACACCAGCGGACAAAGCATGCAGTATTATGCTCAGCTATGGGGCATGCAAGTGCCCTTGTATTAAATCCCAGACCTCTGCAATGTATCGGGATCGTCAGTCTGCATCCAAGAGCTACTCAAGGTGGGGGCTATCAAGAGTGTGATACTTTTCCTGTGTCTTTTAAGAAGAATATGAACATAGCACCACGTAGCATCAAAAAGAAACAGTTTACACAAGTCAATCTTTCAACGCTTACCACAGGGAGCCAAACCTGTGCAAGCAGGTGCGTAAAACGCTCTCAGAATATCATAATTGAGCACATTCCTACCCTAGGTTAGGATCTTGATTCTATGTCCACCATGGGTGCATTATTTTCTTAAGTGAAAGGAAATGTAACCTCTCACTGGGCGTTATTGTTAAACATTGCAGACATTTGAGCAAGAGCTCCGAGAAATGGCACCACAAGCAGAGATGGGCGAGGAGTGTCATCTGCTCTTGTTGTCTGCTTCTGCACAGACGCTGAACTGACTCCGGAGCTGGTGCAAGCTTTTGAGGAACTGGGTCTGAACTCGTTTAGAACTGGGATGAATCGAATGTGCCAGTGCAGCGGCTGTGCAACTTCAGGGTGAATCGAATGTGCCAGTTCCTGCACTGCTGAACTAGTTCAGCCACTTCAGGCAAATCAAACAGACCTCTTATGATGTTGTACACCCTCACTATAATAGTACCCTTAAATGTCAGTAGCAGACTCTCATCAGGCAACCACCGAAACGGTACCTTGTGTCAGATGCTGGGACGACCGGCGTGTCGCAGAAGAGCACGAGAACACACATGCCAGTGAGCACAACAAGAATGTCTAAACCACGCTCTGGAAACAAAAGGTAGCAACCTGAAATTACATGTACCACCCATCTCGATGCATGGCACGCCTGGCAAGAAAGCCGGTTTGGGCACGACGTCACATAGATAAGAAGTGCAAGACATCCTCTCATGGAGTTTTAAGCTAAGACACTGTGAAAAACTTGTCTAACTCTATGCATTTTTTATTAAAGGAATTTCTTGCTTTGAAACTCACATTGGCACATTTAAAATCTTATATTGTGACCCATACAAAAGTACTTAATATTACTAGTGCGACACTTTTTCTAAGCCTCAGAACTGTCTACTTAAGTAAAGGTGTCAAATGCTGTCCAGCTTCACCTCATTTATTCACGCAAGACAACTAAAGAGCTTGAACAAACATTCACCATATCAAAGCAGAAAAAATATGTAACTTCACATGTAAAAAAAAAGAACGTGTTTCCCCTGTGAATTGCAGTTTGATACTAATCAATGTTGCAGGCCTTATCAGCAAAAAGTGGCTAAAGTGCTTAGCGAAGAAAAAGAAAAAAGAAACTTTTCGTGTTGGGATTTGCCCTTACAAGGTGCTTCATTTGCATTGCACACCCTAGTTAAGTGTCTGAGCATTACATGCCCCAGGCACTAAAACGATAAATACCTCGTTGCCTGAAAAGCACGTTCTAGCTTCGATCCGCAATTACAGTTTTGCGAATTCGCCAAGCTTAGTAAATTCTAAATAGTTTTCTTCTGCACTTGAATGCTTTAGGGAGAAGGAAGAGTTCGATTTATACAGTTAAATTTTTGTAGGGATCGTTGGCTTTGCCAAGTGCTAGCTACAAAATAATGCATTCGCCAAAAAGCATAACATTTCAAATGTAACTATTTCGCGAATCGAAAACAGCAGCCCAGGTTCGACACATACGAGCGGTCAAAAATACACGGCATGAGAACGACGCAGCAACCGGCAACATCACAGGAATTTCGTAACAGCACAGAAAAAAAATTAAATTACACCCATTCGCTCGGCACAACTATGATTTTATTATGTATAAAGCAACACAAGAGTTTCAACTCACCAACGCAGGTTCGATGTAACGTTCAGCGTGCTTGGGCCGCTGGGTAAGAGCAAGGAAGTTTTGTCTAGTAGAGTATAGTTATGACATTTATTCCATTCCTGATGCGCTTATCGATCTTTCAACGAACCAATTCGAATGTCACCACTGAAAATGTTTGTAGAAAAGCCAAAAAAGTAAAATATTTCAAACCTCCTGCACCTTGTGCACAGGACTGGTGAGCGCCATGACACAACAGATCCGCAGAAATTGAAACACGTTTGAATGTAAACATAACAAATTTGTTTTGAATTTTCAAAGTTAATAGATCTTGTTTAATTAACAACATTATTTTTTATTTTATTTTATATTTCTATAAGCATGCGGTAAGAAACAAAGATTGGAAAATCAATCTGTGCGGTGGTATCGTGCTATTCTCTATGCCGCGAAACACAAACAACATGGCGGTAGTGTGATGGTGGCCCGTTGTCTTTTTTGAGGATGTACTGGGTGTGCGCCACTGCAGAAATACAGTGGGTGCGATTTTCGGACTTAAGGAAACGGTGGTGGTGGTGATGGTGGTGGTGAGGGGGGAGGGGGGAGGGAAGGGAAGGGGAGCAAGGGCACAAACAACGGGCCGGCATTTTAAGTGTTTTTTAATGAACAGTTGGGGGCGGTCGTTTGTTTGCTGAAACGTTCGACCAACTGAGTGCCATCCCGTTGTGTTCTGCTCTTTCAGAAGAGAATAATACTATTTCTGCTATTGACTGGACACAGAACGGAAGAGGTTGATACGACTATTTATTATTGTAAAAAATAGACATAGCACAATAAAAATGCAGACTGAGAGGCACGTAGAACGAGCGCTGTGTTTACATGGTCGGACAGAACGGTGTGTGTAATGTCATTCATGTGATGCATCACAAAAGGTGCATAGGATCCTGGAACAGATACTACATACTACTGAAAGCCAGAGCCGAACTTCAACTGAAGACACTCTTGAAGAACACGGAACATACCGTGGTGTTTGTAATCAATGTATCTGATGGAACGTTGGGCTATTCTGAAGTTCTCTCGGTGCGTGAATCTTGTGTATTAAACTGACTGCACTGTGCACTTGTCCCTTTTTTCTTCTTCTCGGACCCTTATAAATTATTTTCCTAACCACCGTCTTTTTTCTCCTCCCCTAGCTGTCATGAAATCTTCATGTCGTGCCATATTCCTTGGGGCCATACTGACATCTCACTGTATAAACATGCACAACATCCGACTTGCTTTGCTTTTGGGGAATCTGTGTGCTAGCGCACACCAGCTCGGAGCGCGTGGAGCGAAAGGTCGCGCTGCAGAACCCAGGGCTTGGGTTCAATCCCTGCCCGCTTCGATCTGGATGAGCATCGTACCGGTGTGCGGATGTGTATCACTACTCCGTGGTGCACGTTAAAGACCCCAGGCTAGCGGTTGTACTGTACTGGCTAAATTGCTCATCTACAGCGAGTGACTCGTCGCAGCTCTAAAATGGCTGACCAAATACACGTAGTATAAATATTCACACAACCATTTATTTTAGATGTTGATGACCTGTGCAACACGCGTTCGTTTTTCACCACACGCAAAAAAAAAATAGCAGAAAAAAAATTAGCAGCGTTTATTTTCTCAACTTAACAGACAGAACAAGCGGCCACCTGATCTGGAGCCGAAGCACATGACACGCGCTGAGTTCCAGATATTGTGATGGTTCGGCTACTGTCGTCATTGCAGCGATTGGACGCGGGCCACTACCCGATTGCTTCTCGAGCTAGTAATTATCACGAGCCCAAATCGAGTGTTCACGCAATGCTCGGGTCCAATCTATGAACCGCATTCAAATATCGTCACTTGGGTGTACTGCGATCCCCCAGCTACGTCATCAAGTTTTGCGAAGGAGAGACTGAAAGAAAACGCTCGCTTTTGTCCTTGAAATGACATCGCAACAAATGAGTTTCTTGGTCAGTGGCGTTGCGTGCGAGTATCCTTCAGTCCCACTAGTGCCAGTAAACTCGTGTAAAGTGAAAAACATTCCAAGTGAATATATGCGATATTCAATTGGAATGTTGGTCGTTTTTATTTAATTTTTTCTGCGACTTCGACTGCGTGGGGTGAAAACGGAACGCGTGTTTTATAGGTCATTAACGTCAGGGATCCGTTCTTAACGATATTTGCGCGAAGTACAGAAATTGTTGCATCGCCTCTTTAAAGGGATGCTGAACCAAACATTTCAGTGTCTATAATAAGTGGCGCACGATCTTTCCACGAGCCAGCAGCCGCCGGTGTGCGTGAGCACACGCAACGAAATGAACGAGTTTTAGAAGAGGGGGCCCCAAAGCTTTGGGTGCCCCGAACAGCTCGGGGCATCGCAGTGGGCATGCGCAGAAGTTCTGCGCATGCGCAGTGGGACGCCCCAAGCTGTTTGGGGCACCCAATGCTTTGGGGCCCCCTATTCTAAAACTCGTCAGGCACGTAGCCAAGGGGTGGGGCCATGGGGCCCGAGCTCCCCTCCCTGGCTTTTGGGGAAGGGGGGGGGGGGCTGGTATGCCCCCCCCCCCCCCCCCGAAATCTTCCATCTTGCTGGGGCCTTCTCTCCCCGCCCCCTCATACAGCAGATTGTCATGGCGCTGGGTGTGCGCTCACTCGGCCACCGATCCCCCCAGCTCGACGCGCGTGAAGCGAAAGCTCGCGCTGCAGAACCCAGGGCGAGCTTTCGCTACACGTGTTCCGAGCTGGTGTGCCCTAACCCACTCGGCCACGGATCCCCCTGTTTCCCCGATCCCAAAAGAGCGGAGATGAGTGACCTCCAGGGCCGGAGGTAAAGGTGACCTCTCCCCGAAGGCCCCTAAGATGACAGTGCGGTGGGAGCAACGCTCTCGCGAGACCAATCGACCGCTTCCTTTTCATCACCTGACCCCTCTCTCGATCACGTGGCCAAGGAAAGACGTACAACTGCTCAAAGTGAGCATGCAACTCGCACTGCCAGCTTATGAGTGAACGAGGTTGCTAGAGAAAGTGAAAAGTTTCTTTGAAAAGAAAGTGAAAAGCAAAGACGTCCGACTCCTGATGAAAAGCAAAGCGTTTGCCCTGGCCAGTGGCGGCTGTTTCAGGGGGGAGGGGGGGCAAAACACATGCTTTGCCCCCCACTCTGAAAACTGGGGGGGGGGGGGGGGGGGCTTGCAACTCTCTGGGACAAGTCCTTTAAAGTGAAGGGAGCGAAACTATGATATGGACCAAGGTATGCAAACACACTCCGTAGCTTCGACCACGGGCTTCGACCCAAATTGCTTAGGCAAAATAATAATAATAATAAATAATCAGAAAACATCGTCCCAGCGAAAGCTTATATTCGAAACAAGCTTACACTTAATTGACAGAAAAGGTGTTTGTAAATGTATGTTATGAGAGTCATACTTAACCATAAATTGGTCGCTGCTTATTAAAGAACAATACCAATTTGTTACATCTTTCGAGATTTCCTTCGAGCTTTTCGGCATGTTCAGCGCTTCCTTGTACACGAGACAAAAACTATACCACCATAAACCACTAAATCAGTGACAGATGTATGATCGCAGAAGTATACCACGGGTGCGGCACTTCTATGCACCGAATGTGGTTAAGGAATAAGATAATATAAATTAATTTACTTATACATTAATGCTGTCTCATCCACAGGCAACTCAGTGTCTAATACAATATGCATGATGGGTGCGACTTATACCGTGAATTATTTATTATGAAGGTAACAACCAGGGCATACATGCCGAGGGCAGAAAAATTGTCCGGAGCAGTGGTTCTCAAGCATTGATGATTCGCGGACCTCTTGGGAATCGGCGGATATGATGGAGGACCCTGTTCGTGGTGAGGGAAAGGAAAAGTTATGGTTTAATTACAAAAATGATTTAATAAATGAATATAACTAAGGGCTAATGTGGAGTAGACTTCTTTTTGTGACATATACACGAGAAAACTCACTCGAAAATTGTAACCTTTCTTCTGAATCTCAGACAAGACAACTTTTATTGCTGGGCTTGACTGATGAGGCTCGGCTTCGCGGACCCCTATAATACCTCCGCGGACCCCCATTGGAGAACCACTGGTCTGTAATAAAGGATAAATTCAGCGCAAAATCCTGCTGGTAAGCATCTGTGATCGGTCGAAAAGAGCTTCACACTGTCGCACATGACGCCATTCCGCGCTTGCACGCGTTAAACGATACCAAGAGAAGCGCGTTCCGACATCGTTTTATATCGGATGAATTGGGGTGAAAAAGCGACCAGAGCTATAAAATGTACAACAAACTAACTATGGCACAAAAGGACGACGGAGGCATACTGGGATAAAGGGAAATTCAATGACGATGGCCCGTGGTCTGCAACATGATTATCAAGTGCGCTCTTACGTTGTAACAGCTAATCTAAAGGTTGTAGCAAGATCAGTGGCATAGACAGGAATAGTTTTCGGGGCGGGGGGGGGGGGGGGGGGGGGGGAGAAAGAGAGAGAGGGATGAAATGCTTTTGCGAAGGGGGGAGGGGGGGGGGGCTGAAGCACAGGGGTGAAGTGAAGCCCCATAAGCCTCCCCCTGTCCCATACCAATTTAGCTTTGTCCTAGTATACACCTTTCCAATGTTCACAAGTCCACAGCCCAGCGCACAACTCCAAAGCCTAGCAGGCGCCATACGTACAAACAATGAAAACGGCGCCTGCCAGGGGCTCTTAGAAGGGGGGAAGGAACGAGAAATTAAAGGAAAGGAACAGACCAGGGTTCAAGGATTAAGACAAGTGACAAGTAGATATGGTAATTTGGAGATGTGCATCTTATAAAGGACGATTACAAAAATTGTTTGTTGCTGACTAATAAAGCGTTGTGATTTCTTCTTAGTAACTCATGTAGGTACTGTGACGCTTGAAGAGAACACGGGAGCGCATGGACCCCGCACCCGCGCAAGGTATACTCGCCCTAGTTGATGCCGGCTGCGGAACCGCTGCGCAGCCGCAAAGTGGGAGGGGCGTGGCGTCCAGCGCGTCGTCTGCTACGGACGGAGCCACGCGCTGCCAGGTTTGCCCGTCAAGGGAAATTCACTCACGCACTTCGAAGGCTAAGAGAAGGAGTGTGCGATCACTGCTTTCATTCGAATTTTGCACTGTCATTCCTAACTTCAACACTACACAGAGCCGATATCTCGTGAATCATGCTGCGCTATTCGACAGCCCTGTTTAACAGGAAACGACAGTGTCT